GGCCTCAGCGGGGCCACTAGAGACCAAGGGCATTAAAACAAAAGCTAAAAGAGGTTTGTAAGGGGAAAATGGGCACTGATCACGGTAGTCTCAGTGAGGTTCAACACCTTCCCCCCCTCCCAAGTCAGGAAATTCAGGATGAGGTATGAGGTTTCCCAGCTGGGGAAAAGAAGTGGCTCTCCCACCTCTCCTTCACAATAGAGGCTACCTTGGCTTCTCATACAACGTGGGCCACATTCTATATTATTCAGCCAACAACACAATCAAGTGGGAAGGAACTGCCTCTCCTCTAGACCCAGCCAACATTCCTCCTCCAGGAAGGTCCTAAATAAACGGAATTCTATAGCACTTGATATGTAGGCTTCACCTTTTCCTAGAACTTCACAGTTACCAATACAGCATTTGTATACCATTGCCTCTGGGACCTGCCAGGGATAGCGTCAGAGAGAGCCCAGGGCAATGGCCCTCACAAAGGGACAGGCGATTTGACTGTGGGAACTCGGCAAGGCAACTTCCTGACTTTCTGTGCTAAAGAAACCCCACCACCAGTTCAATCTAAGTGCAGGGGTCTGCAGAGAGATTTAAGAGATTTAAGTCCAAAACAAAAACCCAACAACTACCCCCATATCAGTCTGACTATATATAGTCAGCCCTCTGCATGCCCAAAAGGGAGAGATCATTGGTAAAATTCATCCAAAATGGCAAAAAAATCCTAAAATTATTGCTGTTTCTCAACTCACAAGAGAATGGGGTCAGCAATGCCATTTCTCCTAAAGTTAACCCTAGCACATGGTCAGTTTTCAACAAGTATTTATTGAATGTTAAATGAAGGAAAGGCTCATTTCATTCAAGTGACACTTGGAATTATTCAAACTCCTTTCTCTGTCTACACCTGCTCGACTGAGGGGCAGGGGGTTATGCCAGAAAACTCTCTGGACTGGGAGTGAGGACATCTGGATTCTGGTCTCTGCTTTACCAGTAACTGTCCATGTGACCTTAGATAAGTCACAGTACTTAATTTTCTGATGAGAGAGAGAGGCAGCAAGAGTGAGCACAAGCAACGTGGACTCTACATGATCAGTGTTTTCCTTTCAGGGGTGTCATGGACAGAGGCCAGGTTTTATGACAATCATGTCTCTAATTTGGGGCACAAAACTATCACCCACTTGGCCAAGTTGGAACAGTCAGAAGCTGAAGATGGGCAGTGGCTGGCAGAAAAGGCAGTGGGAGGGGAGCTTGAAGAGAGCGAAGGGACATGGAACTTTAGGGAGGTAATTCTATGCCATGCTCCAGAGTTGTAAAACAACTTCTAAATCAAGGCCCCTTCACTTCCTGGCCCATGGTGGAGGGTGAGCTCCAAGCTTTCATTTATTAATTGAGTAGAAAACCCCCTAATACCAGAAGAAAGATAAAGGACTTGGAAGGCCAATTCGCAGAATACAAAAAGCAAGAAACATAAAGCAGGGGGAGGTGTGGAAAATGTTTAACCTCATTATTAACGGAAGAAATAGAAATTAAGAAATGAAGGCGTCAAGATACCAGTTTACAGCTAGCTACTAAATTACCAAATGTTTAACTGAGGTGTGTTGAAGGAGGCTCCCTGATACAAAGCTGGTAGGACAAACTGGAACAGCCTTTCTGTAAAGCAATTTGGCCATATTTATCAAGAGCCTTTAAAAGAGCGCTCCCTTTGACTCAGTAATTCCACCTCTAGGAATCTATCCTAAGGAAATAAGATATGCCCATATATCAGGAAGTTCATCACAGCAATATTCATAATAATGAAAAATTGGAGACACCTAAATGTCTGACAATAGGGAAAAGGTTATGCACGTATTATGGAGTCATTAAGAAGTATTTTCAAATAATTTCTAATGATATGGAAAACGCTAAGTAAAAAAAGCAAGATTACAAAACTATATTTATAGTTGAATTCCAGTTATGTTCAAAAATATATATGTACAGAAAAAAGACCACAAAGAAATACACCAAAACATAAACAGTGATTATTATATTTGGTGATGTGTTTATGAGTGATTTTTCAATCTTCTTACTTTCCTGTACTTTCAAAATTTTCAACATGTGCTACTTTTAAATTTGATGAACATGTGTTACTTTTAAAATTTAAAAAGCACGTTAAAGGTATAAGGGGATGGGGCGGTGTTTGTTGATTTTCTAAATTTTCCAAATATTTAGAGGTAGAAAGGGACCTTTGAGATAATCTAGTCCAACAGTTCTCAACCCTATCAGCCCCAGCCCTCCGTTGGTATATACAATATTTTGCAGCGTACCCTTTGCCACCCTGAAATGAATCTCATAGTTAATATAAACTGCTTATACACATAATTTCCAGAATAGCAATATAATACACTAACTATAGTATAAAGGAGAAATAAAAGGAAAGTCATTTATAATCAGATAATAGATATTTCAGTACACAAATGCCTGCACAAGACTATTCTAAAAGATTAACAGTCAGATGCTTCCACTTATATATGTAGATTCACTGCGAATGCAGCTGCTACAGAGGAAGACTAAGTATTGGCAACTTAAAAATCCATGAATGGCATTGCTACTGGCGACATGATTTTCAAAGATCACAACTCTTGGTAAACTTCTGAATAAAATAAAGTACCATCTTCACTCAATTTACACAATTGTTGCATTACTGGAAATTCAGTGTATGATATTAAAACTATAAAAATATGTTAGTTCCCATTCCCCTTTCATATTTATCCAAAACATGAAATCCACAATGACTCCCTTTTTTGTGAGTTGGGCTTGCATCCTTTAAAACTAACGATATTTGCAGTTCTAGCCTTTGATAGTTTCTAAAACGCACTGCTCAAGAACAGCAAGCAATTCCTAGAATGTATTCTCAAAACTGGCACAAATGCTCTTTGAATTATTGGAAGTACTGGTCTTCTTTAGTATCACCAAGGCACAAGAGCAAATTATCATTAAAAAAAAATTTACTGTGATCCCTTGGTGATTTTCCCTAGCCTGGCCCCAAGCCTCAAGGGGTACAAAATGAACTGAGCTAGAAGAAAAGGACTAACGGGCCTAGGCTATGGGGAGAGGGAGGAGGGCTAGGTTGCTAGGTTACCACTTGAGCCAATCCAAGTGGTCTCAGAGGGGTACCAGACACACAGTTCAGGTCCCTCTCTCTGCCCCACTAGGCTGAAGGCCCTCTCAAAAGAAGGGGGTCAAAAGGTGGGGGAGGGGTCCGGTCACGCACGCTAGGCACAAGTAAAGAAATGAGGCAGAAGCACAAAGAAACAGACATCCCTGTATTTCTAAAACCATTCAAGTCTCCTTCATTAATTGGCTTCCCCCCGAAAAGAAGGATTTCTTTATTACGAAACACCAGAGTGAAAAACCCAGCACACATACACATTTGTAGGTTCACACAAAAGTGCAGAGATTTACATATTAAATTGCATTTAAGTTAGAAAATAGATTTAAAAACAAAATACTTCTTTTTCCCCCAACAAGGTAAAGAGATTTGGTCAGTAGGAAAAGGGGCCTTAAGGGTAAACGCAGGAAGGGCAGGGCAGGAAGAATGGAGTTTAGCTGCTATAGAATTAGAACCCACTGCCGCCACTGGTGAAAAAAGCAAAGGGGGAGATGGTGTTCTCCACTGTGGCAAGCAGGGCCCCAGGGCCAAAGGGACATGAAAGAAAAAAAAGAGGCCTCAAAGAGCCAAATTCCACCAACCCCCAGAGGTTTTGGATCCGTGCCAACCACCCTGGTCTGGGGAAGTGGGGTGCATAGGAAACTTAAGGAATGGGGAGGAAGGGGAGAGGTGGAAAGAATGTCAGCCATTGAAAAGAGCAAACAATTTAAAGCCTATTCCCCTGGGAGGGACCAATTCTTCAATCTCCCCTCTGATCAGAACTCAGACTAGGAACAGTCCCAGCCAGTGCATGGTATGAACGGGACAGATCTTCAGGCCAAGGTCTTAAATGCAGAAGATTTATATAGGAAAAGAACAAGGGTAGGGAGTAGGGAAAAGCAGAAGCTTTTAAAAAAAAAGATCATTTCACACTAATGATAAGGGGTTTCCATTCTGACCCTTGACCTCAGAAAAAGAAAGCTTCTCTAACTCACACAAGGGTCAACAGAAGAGTGGCTGAGGTAAGTTGAGGGAGGAGAGAGGAGATGGGCTAAGACAGGATGGGTTGAGAACTGACTAAAAATGGGTTCATCTGAGTGGCAGGTTAACTGGAAAAACCTAGTATCTTCCCAACTCTCCAGGCTTGGCCTTATTTTGAACTAACTAAAATCTAACTACAAGGACAAAACTGAGAGAGCCAGAAAAAGAATGAGAAAGTAGAGGCATATAGGACCGGAATCTGAGTCAGTCAGAGTCCCAGTCTGTCTCTCTGTCTCTCTAAGGATTGCTAAACTCAAATCCTGCTACAAGAAAATAGGAAGACATAGAGAAAAAGCTAGGAGCGGCCGAATTTCATTACTTCTTTTTTTTTTTTTTTTTCATTACTTCTGATTAACTGGGAAGAGCGAGACAAGAACTGGTAAGGAATCTTGATTACAGACCATTTAAAAAGAAATATATACCATCACTTGTAAAAGATCACTAACAAAATATTTCCAAGGGGAGGCCCTGAGGAGCCTGCTTTAATAACCAAGACTCATTTGCAATTAACAGCATCCATCTGCATAAAAACAATATCCTATTAAAGAACTTGTTCTCTTAATTTAATATAACCCCTGACCCTCCCAATCTTTCTAACACTGTTCATGGCCTTGAAAGGCCTCTTTTCATAGTCAAGAATACGGTAAACTTCAACCCAGAATGTAGTATAGGTCAATGGAGAGTTTGGGAGCTACCTCTCCAACCCAAGGGCCCCCTGGAAAATGGAAGTATGTGTAGTAACAAGCACCCCCTTCAACCCCCACCCCCACCCCACCCCCCAAAGATATTCACACCCCCATGGTGGTTCTTGAAATGGAAAAGGGGGAAGGAGGAGGCAGGCAGCTTGCATTAGACACAGTTTAATCGCCTTCAAATAGATTAAAAGTTCTGCTTTACACTCCCCCCCTCCCCGGAAGTCATCCAGACAGGACCCTGGCTTAGAAAAACACAGGTGCTCTAGGAAATATAGCCACATATAATACATAAATCTTCTTCCCTGAAATAGAGCAGGTCCTGAGTAGAGCTGACTGGGGGCCACAGCCCACCCCCAGGGTGAAGCGGCTCTGGGACTCTGCCGGTGGAAGTGCTGGAAGAGCGGGGCCTGGAGGAAGCCCCCGGTGTGGTTACCAAGCCCGCGGTGGGCCAAGGCCTTGGAGTGGGTCCCCCAGGAGGGCAGCAGTGCGGGGCTTTCCCTCCTCACTCAGCCGAGGCTTAATGGAAGTACTGGTTATCCTTTTTTTTCTTTTTTTTTTCTTTTTTGAGGGGACATGGGGGAGAGGAGAGGAGAGCCTCTCTGTGCCTTAGTTTCCCCATTTGTGCATACAGGGCCTCTGCAGGCCTCACACAGGGAGTCTGAGGGGGTAGTGTTTAAGTGAGCACTCGGGCTTCCTCTGAGGAAAAGGAACCACCAAAGTGCAGACTTTTATTACTGCCGTTCCTGCTCCCAACGGGAACAAGAGTCAAAAGGAAAACAAATTAAAAGGGGCTAATGAGAGAGGAAGAGACATGAGACAGAGAGTGCGAGGGGTCGTGCCGTTGGCATCTCATAAGTTCTTATTGAGAACGGCACAGGTATTAAAAAGTTTCTGGGTAGTCTACGAGAAATGTGAATTGTTATCTATACTGCAATTACTTACATATATCTCACTGGAAAAGCGTGGGGCTTGGGTGTTAGAGAGTGGACAGGGGACAAAGGAGAAGCTGCACGAATAAATACAAGTGGAAACTGCCTACCCCATTCCTGAAAGGATTTGCTGGCAATGTTGGCACTTTGTAGCCAGGAGAATCTTCCAAGCCCACTCTCCATCCCCCTCCATTCTGAAGGCCTCAAGAATCCAGTTAGAATTCCCTGGCCAGAGTTCTCTGTGACTGCCCCTGGACTCATGATGCACAGCAGCTTGAGAGGATCTGAGTCAGTCTCAGGAACCTTTACCCCAGAATTGGGCCAGTGACCCCAAGCAGGAGAGCTGGGATCTGGGAAGAGAGGGGAGTCCAAGGGGCCTCTGTGGCTGAGGCCATGGAAAACCAGTGCCAGGGCCCAAGGGACCCATTTGTCCAGTTACCAGAGGTGACTGACATCTTCTGCAACTGCTTGGAGTCCAGAAATTTAAAAAAGCTTGCAGCAAGAAAATGCCAGTTTACAACTGGGTGAATAAAGACCAAAGAAAAACAGTAATAGGAACAGCTTACTTGCTCTCTGTCTCAGGTTATCTTCTCCCATTAAATCTCTCACAGCCCTAATCAGACACAACAAAAGTCTCTTCCATAGATAGGCTACTTCTCAGCTTCAGTGGCCTCCTGTGAGGGCTCTGGGGGCTCTGGGGGTGGCATCTCTTCAGGAGTGCTGGTGTCCTCCGGCATCTCATCGGAGCTTAGATGGTCTGTTGGAGCCTGAGAAGGAAAAGATATCAAATTCAATACAAAGCTCTCCCTCAAAATACAAATGGAGATAACCCATAGACACTGAACTCTTCCTCTGAACCCATCAACCACACTGACGCTACAGATATGCCGCCACCAACACCAAACTCAGAACCAAGACTAGACTGTCGTCTTCTCAGCAGAAGGCAATTGAAGTTTATTTGAGTTCTATTCTTAACTGTCTGTTGTGGACAGATATTTCTATTACTATGCATGATAATAATAAAAGGGATCACAAATAATTACACAGACCACCTTCCCTCCTTCACAACACAATGTTATAACATACTTGTCTAACAAGGCCTGACATGGTGGTTCTCAATCTTCTTTCGGCCCTAACACATACCTCCCTAGAACAGTGCTTCTAAACCAAAGAGGGTGGGGTGGTAGAATCTTCAGATGGTATATCTGGTTTGAAAATGCCTCCTGAGTGATTCTAAAATACCACCCTTCCCCACATTCAACTGAGAATCACTAACCTGTACTGTAATGATTTAAGATCAGACTCATCAGAAAAACAATATTCAAAATGATGATAATGATATATAAACATGAGTTTGCTATACTTCAAAAAAGAAAATTAAAAATTTAAGAAAGGCAAAGTAGAGAACAATTATCTAACTTACAAATAGCATTCATCTAAGAGTAGGATTCGATTTCTTTTTTTTGGCCGCGCTGCGTGGCTTGTGGGATCTTAGTTCCCCAACCAGGGATTGAACCCCGGCCCATGGCAGTGAAAGTGCTAAGTCCTCACCACTGGACCGCCAGGGAATTCCAGGAGAATTTGATTTTAAAAGAAAGTTCAAGTCTACTAAAAATCTATTAGAACTAATAAAAGAAGTTTAGCAAGGTTTCAGGATACAGAATCAATATACAAAAAAACCAACTGGGCTTCCCTGGTGGCGCAATGGTTGAGAGTCCGCCTGCCGATGCAGGGGACACAGGTTCGTGCCCCGGTCCGGGAAGATCCCACATGCCGCGGAGCGGCTGGGCCTGTGAGCCATGGCCACTGAGCCTGTGCGTCTGGAGCCTGTGCTCCGCAACAAGAGTGGCCACGATAGTGAGAGGCCCGCGCACCGCGATGAAGAGTGGCCCCCGCTTGCCACAACTGGAGAAAGCCCTCGCACAGAAACGAAGACCCAACACAGCCAAAAATAAATAAATAATTAAAAATGAATATCTGCTAAAAAAAATCTGAATTGAGTTGTGTCAAAAAAAAAAACTTGCATACACATGTTCATTACAGCATTATTCATAATAACCAAAAGGTGGAAACAACCTAAATGTCTACCAATTGATGAATGGATAAATAAAATGTAGTCTATCTATATAACAGAATATTATTCAACCGTATAAAGGAAAGAAGTACTGCTACATGCTACAACATAGATGAACCTTGAAAATACAAGGCTAAATCAAAGAAGCCAGTCACAAAAGACCACATATAATATGATTCTATTTTTATGAAATGTACAGAAGAAGCCTACAGCAAAAGAAAGTAGATTAATAGTTCCCTAGGGATGGGGCTGAGGGAACTGGGGGGAAAGGGAGAGTGACTGCTAATGGGTACAGGGGTTTTTTTGGGGGGGCAATGAAAATGTTTTAAAATGGATTGTTGTGATGATAGCACAGTTCTGTGAACATATTACAAACCAGTGAATCCTACATTTTAAACAGGTATTTTATGGTATCTGAATTATATCTCAACAGAGCTATTACAAAAAAAAGAAAGTTCAACTAATAATTTTAGGAACATACTTTATTAAAGCATATGTGATCAGTATAGCTCGGAGAGTTTCCACATCTGCATATTCCAGTGAGGAAGCCTCCTTCTACCAAGGTAACCACACCACTAACTCCAACCCACCCTCCTGACCCCTGTCATTGCTCCTATAGCATTTTATGCTTCCCTCATCAAGGCACTTTTCACTACACGGACTAATAACCTGTTTTCTCTCGTCCCCACTAGACAATGAGCTCCATAAGAGCAGATGCATTATGTGACTTGTTCACTGGTGTATCCCTAGCACCTAGCACATTGGCTGGCACAGAATGTTGAAGAAATGACTAGATCTCAATCTATGTCAAGGGCACAAAGATCTTAAGGCAATGTCAGGGCAGAAGCAGAGACAGGGAAGCTGGAGTGACTGGACACAAAATTGCCTAATTATATCTCTAAGGTGTAAATTTAGTCTACACCCTCTACCCCCAACTCAGTCTTAAAGTCTAAAAGCCTTAAAAAGTCAGGAACACTTACTGGGCTCTGAGGCAAGAGGCTGGTACTGGCCTCTTGAGTACTGGGAGGTCGACTTCCACTTTCCTCCAGTGGCAAAATACCCCTTCGATCCAGCACACTGAAGGAGACAGGAGAGTTAACAAAGCACTTTGCATCCACCTCTCCACCCACCCACCCCACTGAATCTTCCTGTGTGTGCTGGAAAATATAAACCTGCCCTTTGGCAGTCTAGTCTGATCCTAGCACACATCTCCTACCTTCCATTCACTTTTTCTTCCACAAACCAGGGAATACCACATTAACAAGGGAACAAACAGATAAAATAAGAATGAAAGGTCATCCCTTCAAAACAACCAGCCCATGGCCTATGGTCCATGTAGATATGGCACCAAGGGACAATCCCTGGGAAGACCTCTTTTGACACGAAGAGGCCATGTTCAGAAGAATGCATCACACCAGGTGACAGGATCAGGTCAAACTCCTTGTCCCAAGAGTTCCAGGATCTTCTAGTCCTCTGAGTACCTGGGGGGCAAGGGGCCACACAGCACTTCACAGCAGTTCTTCACAATATTGCCATGGCTATAGGGATTCTGGACACGATTCTTCCCTGTCCATGAGCCTTTGATCTGCAAGATAAAAGCCAAGGCTTAAACATTATGTTGAAGAAATACATGCAGCACAGGAAGATGAAAAAGTTCTGGAGATGGATGGTGGTGATGGTTGCACAACAATGTGAATGTACTAATACCACTGAATTGTAAACTTAAACAATGGTTTAAGATGGTACATTTTAAGGACTTCCCTGGTGGTCCAGTGGTTAAGAATCCGCCTGCCACTGCAGGGGACACGGGTTCGAGCCCTGGTCCAGGAAGATCCCACATGCCACGAAGCAACTAAGCCCCTGTGCCACAGATACTGAGCCCACACGCCTAGTGCCCGTGCTCCGCAATAAGAGAAGCCACCGCAATGAGAAGCCCACGCACTGCAACGAAGAGCAGCCCCTGCTCACCGCAACTAGAGAAAGCCTGTGCGCAGCAACGAAGACTCAGCGCAGCCAAAAAAAAAAAAAAGGATGGTGCATTTTATGTCTTTTACCACAACAGAAAAAAAAAAAGAGAAATACATGCATAGCCACGGAAAAATATTCACAATAGAGTAAAAAAGCAGATACCTGAGCGTTATGTATTATTTCCATTTAAAAATACATAATATATTCACATAAACAAACGTGAGAACAAGTCTAGACAAGTCTAGAAGACTATAGATCATACCATTAACAATGGTGATGCCTAGGAGGTAAAATTACAGGGACTTATTTGCTATTTTTTACTCATCTGTACTTCCTGATTTTCTACAATGAATATGGATTAATCGGTAAATTTTTGTTTTTAATTCATTAATTTATTTATTTTAGGCTACACTGGGTCTTCGTTGCTGCACGCGGGCTTTCTCTAGTTGCGGCGAGCGGGGGCCACTCTGTTGCGGTGCGCGGGCTTCTCATTGCAGTGGCTTCTCTTGTTGCGGAGCACGGGCTCTAGGCGTGCAGGCTTCAGTAGCTGCGGCACGCAGGCTCAGTAGTTGTGGCTCACGGGCTCTAGAGCGCAGGCTCAGTTGTTGTGGCGCACGGGCTTCACTGCTCCGCAGCATGTGGGATCTTCCCAGACCAGGGCTCGAACCGGTGTCCCCTGCATTGGCAGGCGGATTCTTAACCACTGCGCTACCAGGGACGTCCCAATCGGTAACTTTTTAAAAGCAAGGACTTATTCAATGCAACTGTCCCTCTCCATTCCAAACCCAGAGGCACCAGTTAGCTTTTAAGGACCTATGAACAGCTAAAGACCTTGTGCTCACCCAACCATATTCAATCTCTTCTTCCTAATTCCCTACAGGCATTCAGCTCCAAACAAAGCAGTCTGCTTTTTCTTCTACACACCTGGTTTAACAATCTCCCACACCTGGCTTTCTGCCTGCCTCAACCTCCCAGGCCCTGGAGACTCAGTTCTCCAGCAGGTAATTAGAGAATAGGCTTTTGGTAGAAGAATATGTAATGAGGAGAGGAAAAGTTGACTCACATCTTCATTGGTTGTCTGGTTGAGAGCCACAAGGAAAGTGTGGAATCCAGTCAGTCCCACGACGGACCAGAGTGTGAAGAAGCAAATGAGTACTTCTAGAACAGTGAGGTGTTGGTTAAGGAATATTGAAGAAGCCACACCACGGAACTTGATGCCGCAGCCCATACTCATGACACCAGTCACACCATCTTTACCCCTTGGAACATATACAAATATATATCCATACATAACAATGGGTGAATTCTAAACTTGCTGGCTATATCCCTCATGAAAGGTAAAGGATGCCTGTTTATCCACTACAAGTAGCTCTCTAACAGATCTAGTCTATTTAGGTGTTTGTCTGTTTATTCATCATTGGCTCTTCGAAGGGGACATTTAGGAGGGGTCCAAAGCTAAACAACGTTGGCCATCACTGCCAATGGAAAACACATCAAAAAATAAACTTTATAGATGAAACAACTGGTGGGAAAGAAACCAGAATGTGATTTCTAGAAATCCCATCTGAATCTCCTTTTCAGAAATGTAACTTCTGTACAAAATAAGCTTAGCTGTAACAGGAAGGTGGGACTTCTAGTAAGTGATGCAAGAGGTCTATTGAGAGCAAAGTATAGCCCACTAGAGAATGCAGGGCTGAGCCTGGGATCAGAAGGACTTGGGAGGGAGGCAGTGGAGACAAAGTTGAAGGAAAGACCTCCCTTTAAGCCCTGGCCATCCTCCATTCTAGTTGCTACCACTAAGGCTACATTTAAAAATTTTAGACGTTGGCACTCTCTGATGTCTGAAAAATGAGATGGTGGAGAACTGCAGACAGAAAGCATGCTGAAAAGTAGTTTAAGAGGGCTTCACGGGGACATCCTGCCAGGGGAGGATATGTTCCAGGAGTTTCTTTCAATGTCTCCAGGAAGCCAATTTTCAAGGATTCTGTGAAATTGGGAGGAGGAGTAGAGAGAAAGATTAGTAACTTTAGTAAAAAATACACACATACCCTAGTGCCTACTCACTTTCTTCCCTCCCTATCCCTTGTTACAAGCCGGCAAGAGATAAGCCCTCATTCAGGCAAGGGACTCACACCTCCAAGCTGGTACTCTCTTGACTAAAGGGTCCACCTTCTCAATACAGGACCCAACACTGGACTAGAGAGTCGGCCACAAGCCAAGCATCTGGCTCCCCTCCCTTTTCCCTAGCCTCCAGCTATGGCCATGGAGCGGGAAATTCATTCATAGATGAAAGAAATCAGAAATATCCAAGAAAAATCCTCTCTCTTCATCAATCCATATCTCTTCACTGCTCAAAATCCAGCTCAGGACTCATCTCTCCCCAGGAAGCTGCCTGGATTAAGACCACTCCTTTAACTCCTCATCCCATCTGCCCTTGGGCTGTTTTATGTGTGTGTATGTGTGCATGTGCACACGCGCGCGCGCACACACACACACACACAGGTGTATATTTTCTATCTCCCAAAGTAGACCATGAGCCACTAAAAGACATTTCTCTGGTGTAACCCCTTCTATCACCTGACACAAGGGCAGGTCTTATGAGGCAAAAGAGGTGACACATACAGGCAAAAATACATCCCCAACCTTTGGGATCACCTCAGAAATGCCCAGTACTCTAGGTACAGACCAGTAATTATGGTGCTGGTCTCCAGCAGAGGGCCACTGAGAAGACCAACACACTCGGTAAATCCTAATTGATGTGAGCTGAGGTTTGGAGCTCTGTTCAGGAGCAGATAGTAGTGCACACTTCTAACTGGTCCTAAGGTGGCTTCGCAATGGTAAAGTCCCGCCAGGATACGGAACCACTCTCCTAAGCTGTCCTCAAGTCTTCTCCCACCACCCACCCCTCCAGCAACATACACTGCCCTGTATACTCACTGAGGGCCACGTAGACGATGTTGAAGGCAAAGACATAGATCGTGAGGAGGGACAGAGAAAGGATGAAGAGGTAGAAGTAGCGGTAGTTCCTCTTTCCAACACAATTCCCCACCCAGGGGCAGTGATGGTCGAAGCGCTCTGTGGGAGAAAGAGAGAGTCCAGTGCCAAAACCTCCAAAACTAAGCACAACCCTGCCATCCACTTAATACCTAAGTCCAAGACCCCTAGGATCGCTGCCTATTTCAACTGTAAAAAACACTGGTTTTGTATACACTGATGTGTATAAAATGGATGACTAATAAGAACCTGCTGTATAAAAAAATAAATAAAATTCAAATAAATAAATAAAACCAAAAACACCTATTTCCTTCCAAAATAAATTAAAAAAAAAACACTGGTTTTTATTTTTCACAGTGTTTTCACAGCCATCTCATTTGATCCCCACAATCGTCCTGGAAGTTGGGCAAAAGAAGATATTCTTTTCTCCATTTTACAGATGAGAAAACTGAGACACTGAGGGGTTAAGTGATCTGTCTCACTGTCAGTTAACAGCAGAGACCTTGCTTTTCCAAAGAAAAGTCTTAGTAAGTGTGTCTACTAAGCACAGGAAGAATAAATAGGTGTAAATAGCCAAGGGACTTTTGAAAAATGAGTAGCGTGGTTTTTCTTAAACTCCAGTTAGTAAAAAATTATAAACCTACATACCTGGAATGGTGTGGCATAGCTCAATGGAATGGAAATCACCCAGAAACAGAATATATAAAAATTTACTGTCTGAGAATGGTAGTGCTTCAAAACCAGTAGAGAAAGGAAGTATCATTCCATCAACAACTCAGAGACAATTGGTTACTTGGTTGAAAATAAGGTTAGATCTTTTTCCCTCACACTATTTACCAAAATTAATTCCAGATGAATTAAAGAGTTAAATGTAAAAACAAAGTGAAACCTTAAAATAACCATAAAGAATAGGTGAACATTTGTCTCCTGTATGGAGAAGGACTTTCTAAGCATAAAAGTAATGGAAAAAAACCACAGATGACAAAGAAAAATAGATTTGACTCCATACACTTTAAACAATATTTCATAGATGTTAAAAATACTATAAAGAAAATTAAAGAGGAAAAAAAACCCCGAGAAAGTATGTGAATTTTGTAACTTAGTCTATGAAAAGTCCTTACAAATCAATAACAAAATACAAATACTCCTTCAAAAATAGTCAAAAAGCAAAACAGTTAATAAATACCATATAAACATATATTTAAACGTTTTCAGATTCACTAACTCATCGCAATACTAATACAACAATAAGATACTTTTCTGCCTATCAAAATAAGAATATAAAAAATAATATTCAGTGCTAGCGAGAACACGGTAAAACGTACACTCTAATATACTGTTTGTGGAAGTACAAATTGAGAGAACCTTTCTGGAAAGCAATTTGCCCGTATGTATCAAGAGCCTTAATAATGCTCACACCCCTTCGGCAGAATAAATCCATTTTTAATAATTTCTCATAAGGAAATAGAGATGTGCACAGAAATTTAAGTTCAATACTTTTTTATTAATTTTTTTATTGTGGTAAAATATATAAAACATACAATTTGCCATTTTAACCAATTTTAAGTGTAAAATTCACTGGCATTAATTACATTCACAATGTTGTACAACCATCACAACTACCTATTTCCCAAAATTTTCATCACCCCCAAACCACCGCTTGGATTGTCTCCATCTTTTGGCTTTCATGAACAGTGCTGATGTGAACACTGATGTACAAGTACGTTTGAGCTCCTGTTTTCAGTTCTTTTTTGGTATTGTTATGGACAGAACTGTGTCCCCCTAAAATTCATACATTGAAGCCCTAACCCCAGTGTGACTGCATTTGTAGACAGGGCCTCTAAGGGGGTAACTAAAGTTAAATAAGGTCATAAGGGTGGGGCCCTAATCCAATACAACTGGTATCCTTATAAGAAGAAAAGGAAGAGATACCAGAAGCGCACGAGCACAGAGAAAAGGCCATGTGAGGACACGGCAAGAAGGTGGCCACCTGCAAGCCTCACCAGAAATCAACACAGTCGGCACTGTGATTTTGGACTTCTAACCTCCAGCACTATGAGAAATTCAATTTCTGTTATTTAAGCTACTCAGTCTGTGGTATTTTGTTGGCAGCCCGAGCACACTGGGTAATATAGGTATATACCCAAGAGTGGAATTGCTGGGTCATATAATTCTATGTTAACTTTCTGAAGAACTGCCAAAATGTTCTCCACAGCAGCTGCACCATTTTACATTCCCACCAGCAATGTATGAAGGTTCCAATTTCGCCACATCCTTAAATTTAATAATTTTTTTAAATTTAATAATTTTGATTGCAGTTTTATAATAATGAATAAAACAGGATCGTGAATAATATCTACTGATAGGAGACCACCTAAATAAAGTAGAATATAGCCATATGATGGATTATGCAGTCATTAAAATAATATATTCAAAAAACATTTATTAAAGGTGTAGAAAAATGCTCAGGATATAATGGTAAGTGGCAAAGGCAGGACTAAAAACTCTAGTATGATCCAATTTCACAAACAAGAGAAAGACTAGAAGGAAATACAGCAAAATGGAGAGTGAGTTTGGGATTAAGTTTTATTAATACCTGTACTTCCCATATTTTCTACAATGAACATGTATTATTATTATTTTATTATTTTATTTTTTTGCGGTACGCGGGCCTCTCACTGCTGTGGCCTCTCCCGTTGCGGAGCACAGGCTCCGGACGCGCAGGCTCAGCGGCCATGGCTCACGGGCCCAGCCGCTCCGCGGCACGTGGGATCCTCCCGAACCGGGGCACGAACCCGTGCCCCCTGCATCGGCAGGCGGACTCCCAACCACTGCGCCACCAGGGAAGCCCAACATGTATTATTTTAATGAATGAAAAAAGCACAAAGAATAAAATATATCATTTTTAAAGCGCAGTGAGCTGTGTACCAGTCAAAAAATAAGGCTGTAAAAACAGGTGCATCTCCTAGTTAAAGGGCTATATCTTTTCAGAAAAGGGAAGGAAGATATAGCCTTACTTTAAGCAAACCTGCCACATAAAAAACACCGAAGAATGCAGATTTATACAGATATATTCAATATTTTTACCATCAATATATTATAAATCACACTTTTTTCTGATAATATTGATACAAGTAATACATGCTCATTGTAGAAAACTTGAAAATAATTTTTTTCTAATGAAGGAAACAAAATCCCTTATTACCCCACAACCTATAGATAATAGACAATAAACGTTCTAGAGTACTTCCTTGAATAATTCTTTATACATACTTATATTTTTTTAAATGTGTAACTGAGATCACACTATAAATGTAGCCTATCTTCTATTTTATTTCATTTAGCTTTCTGGTATGAGCTTTACCCATAGAAGTCCACTGTATGTTATGTCCCACAATTTATTTGACCATTTATCTACTGATGGACAATTAGTTTCTTTTCAATTTTTCATTACTATAATAATCTGGAGGTAAATATGTCCATACCTAAATCTTTACCACATCTCTAATTATTTTCTTGGGTTAGATCCCTAGAAGGCAAGTCACTGGCACCAAAGGGTATACATGTTTTAAGGTTTTCATGAATTTTATTAGGTTGCCTTCCAAAAAGTTTGTTCCAATTTACACTCCTACCAGTGTAGGGCTAAGCGTTATCAGGTTTTCCTTGCTAAATTTCTAGGTTTAAGATCTTGTTTTAATTTTTATTTCTTTGCTTTTTAGTAGAGATGAACCTTTTTTTCATGTGAACTAAGTAATTGCATTTCCTGTTTTATCTGCTGTCCATATTTCTACTGAAATGTTATTGCTTCTTTTTTAAAAAATCAATTTGCATGAGTTCTTTATGTTTAAGAATATTAATAAGGAGAGGGAATACTTTTTGAAAACCTTCACATCACACTTCCTTGAAATATCAAGTTTCCTGGCTCATTTAAAATGAGTTTCAATTTATAAAAATCCTATCTACATATAGCTTTTACCATATAAAGTAAGATATATCTTCCCAACCTTAACCTAAAAAGAATTGGCTAATGAGAGGAAAGCAATGTACTCAGGCATGCTCCATGGCATATATAAAGAATGCTGGAAGTATGCCTATTGATAATATAAGGAATTGCACATATCTGCCTATCAACAGACATATTTACTGCCTGTTTTTGATCTTTCCCAGGGCTCAGCATACACTAGGCAGTGATTACAACTAAGTCACATATATGCAGCTAGAAGCACAGATCTCTGTATTATGCACACATACACCCCCCACCCTTGCAGCAGAAGCAGAGAAAGAACAAATGAGGGTTTTGGAATCAGAGCTGTTCCAGCTTCATCTCATACTAATTTAATTATATGAACCTACACAAAGGTGCTTCATCTATTTCTTCATCTGTAAAATGAGGATAATACCTATCTTATGGGGTTCTTATGAGTCTTAAATGAGAGAAAGGGAAAGCACTTAGCAAGTGCCTAGTATATATTAGGAATTCAATAAATGCTAGCAATTTTTTTCTTCCTGGGAACACCACTTCTTATTTAGCCCTTCCTTCCCCGATGCTGCCCTCCAGTGGACTAGGATTCTCCTCCCCCTACGTAAGGTGGGTTCCACTTGAAACAGATCCAGTAGAAGAAAATCTAGATTTGAAAAACAGGTAAAGTTTATTTCTTTATTTACCAAAGAGGTTTTTTTTTTAAACTAGAGGATATTTAAATTATGATTTGATCTACAGAAGTACAGCTGATTTGCAATTGTTCGGAAGCTTGTTTCCCATCTTAAGTTTCTTAACTAAAAATCTAGCTTGTTTCCTATCTAAATCTATCTTCCCACCCCCACTGATTTTTCCTGAGAAAAATCACCCTGACCCTCTTCTTCAACTCAGCCTTTCCCCAGGCAACATCTCTTTGGTTTTACTCACCCACACAGTTGTCACAGATGCTGCAATGAGAGGCCCGGGGAGGCCGGAAGATCTTGCATGTATAACAGTATTTCAGCTTCACAATCTGGTTGTTTATCTGGAAATTCTTGATACGAGGGGGTGGTCGCTGGCCTTGGGGTACTGCACCATTGGTAGCTTCTGTAGATCAGTAAAGACAGTTAACACCACTGCTAGCCATTATTTGAGACCAAAAGCCTTACCACCTCTCCAAGAGCAATGGGAGTAATCAAATGTTCCCTAGGCCCACTGTCCCCGCCAGGCTGGCATTTCCAGACTAGACTCTCAACACCACAGAGTATCCTCCCCAAATTCCACTGAGTGCCATGCAATTATTTTGTGTACACGTAAAAAAGTGTTTCTTCAAGCTTTTTGGCTGATTACAAAGAAAAACATTCATAATAGAAGAAATAAAAATGGCTAAAAAACATATGAAATGAAAACATATAACTTTACTGATAATCAAAGAAATTAACATAAAGATACCATTTCCACCTTCTATATTAACAAGTATTAAAAAGAAGAACCTAGGGGCAGGACAGGAATAAAGACGCAGACATAGAGAATGGACTTGAGGACATGGGGAGGGGGAAGGGTAAGCTGGGACGAAGTGAGACAGTGGCATGGACATATATACACTACCAAATGTAAAATAGATAGCTAGTGGGAAGCAGCCGCATAACACGGGGAGATCAGCTCGGTGCTTTGTGACCACCCAGAGGGGTGGGATAGGGAGGGTGGGAGGGAGGGAGACGCAAGAGGGAGGAGATATGGGGATAGATGTATATGTATAGCTGATTCACTTTGTTATAAAGCAGAAACTAACACATCATTGTAAAGCAATTATACTCCAATAAAGATGTTAAAAAAAAGAATAAAAATACCCAGTGTTGGCAAGGATAGGGAGAAGGTATTTTTATACATTACCAGTAAGCAATATGGCAGTGACTACCAAAATTTTAAATGTGCTTACTTTTTAAAAAAATTTATTTATTTATTTATTTTTGGCTGAATTGGGTCTTCGTTGCTGCGCACGGGCTTTCTCTAGTGGCGGCAAGCGGAGGCCACTCTTCATTGCAGTGTGTGGGCTTCTCATTGTGATGGCCTCTCTTGTTGCGGAACATGGGCTAGGTGCGCAGGTTTCAGTAGTTGTGGCACATGGGCTCAGTAGTTGTGGCTCGCGGGTTCTAGAGCACAGGCTCAGTAGTTGTGGCGCATGGGCTTAGTTGCTCCGCAGCATGTGGGATCTTCCCAGACCAGGGCTCGAACCCGTGTCCCCTGCATTGGCAGGCAGATCCTTAACCACTGCACCACCAGGGAAGCTCCTAAATGTGTATACTTTTGACCCAGCCATTCTACTTCTAGGAACTTATCAAAATTACAAAGAGATGTACAAAAGATGGTAACACAGGATATTTGTCACAGAAGTCCCTTTTAATAGTGAAAGACTGAAAATAACCTTAATATTATAATAGAAGGTTGGTTAAGTACATTATGATACGTGCATGGGATGGAATATTATGCAGCCATTTCAAATGATGTACACATTTTAAATATTCACAACATACTGAAAAATGAAACTGTACACTAAAAAGAAGCATTTTACCTTGCAAAAGTAAAATATATGCATGAAAAAAGACTGGTAATATTTAGAATCAGAAAAACAATTATTTAAAAATAAGAGTAATACATGCTTATTGTAAAAAATTTGGAAAAAACAGAAAATATGAATAGAAGACAAAGAAATCACTGATGGTCTCTCAACTCAGGGATATTTATGCATTTTGGTATATTTCCTTCTACTCTTTTTTATTTTAAATAAATTTTAACTTATTTATTTATTTATTTTTGGCTGCATTGGGTCTTCATTGCTACACACAGGCTTTCTCTAGTTGCGGCGAGCAGGGGCTACTCTTTGTAGCAGCGTGTGGGCTTCTCATTGCAGTGGCCTCTCTTGTTGCAGAGCACAGGCTCTAGTCGGGTGGGCTTCAGTAGTTGTGGCTCACGGGCTCTAGAGCGCAGCCTCAGTAGTTGTGGCGCACGGGCTTTGTTGCTCCACGGCATGCGGGATCTTCCCGGACCAGGGCTCGAACCCGTGTCCCCTGCATTGGCAGGCGGATTCTTAACCACTGTGCCACCAGAGAAGTCCCTTTCCTTCTACTCTTAACAAATAAATAAACATTCATGATTTTTTAAATTTGAGATTATATTTTAGATACAATTTTATACCCTGTATTTTTCACTTAACGTTATACAGTAAGCATTTTTCCATGGTTGTTAATTTTTTTCTGAAAACATCATTATTGGCAATACAATTTTCTATCATATGCATGTACTGTAATTTATTTAACCAATTCATGTTATTGGGCATTTAAGTTGCCTCTGGTATTTTGCTATTTAAATGATGCTGCATGCAAAAACTTAAAACATTACAGACAAAGCTTAAGTCCCCTTTGATCTCTACCCTAATCCCAACCCCCTCCTCCCTTCCTCAAGAATATGTTCATGTGTTAAAATTAATTTCCAAAACATAAAGAAAAAAAGAAAAGCATGTTGAAGTCTGAGCAGTAATATATGAAGTTGCTGGCATTAAAATAGCTAGGAAAAAGAAAAAATGATGCATTAAAAATCCTTCTACAAGTATTTGTGTAAATCTCTGATTATTTCCTTTAGCTAATCCTGAGAGAAGTGAAATTACTGGCTCAAAGGGTATGAACCCTTAAAGCCCATATCACTTATTGGGAAACTGCTTCCCAGACAGATTGTATCAATTTGCATGCCCGCCCATCTGCAGCATATGAGAGTGCCTGTCTCATTGCACCCTTGCTGTGCAGGATAATTCTAAAAACAGAATATTTTTTCAATTCACTTTGATTTTAAAAATATCTGCCATATGGAACTTTTTTCCTTTTTTAGCGGAGTGGGGTGGATGCTGTGAAATCAAACAATAACAGTGTGACACAAGTCTTAAAGAATGGGGATAGCTATTCATTAGAGGATGATATAAGTACCAGCATGCCACCCTCACATTCCTCTGCATGTACTTTACATGAGGGCACCTGGGAGAGAGTTCAAGGCTCTCCCATCCCATGAGGTGTGCTATGATGCAAGGGAACCAACCACATGTCTTCTTCTCTCCCCCACCCAGACCCTACCCACAGCATACCCAGTACAGGGCTGAATGTAAGTTGACAAAAACTTGCTAACATAAACATACGTATGAACTCAAGAACGCACTCTACTATTGAGAGAAACATGCTAAATGCAGAGGTAACAACCTGACAGCTTAAGCCTGGGCCCCGGGCCGAGCAATCTGGCAAAACAGAGCTAACCTTGCTAACAGCCTGCTGTGAGAGGCAAGATCAAGCCAAGGCACTGCCTTGACCTTCAGTTTCTCTATACGTGATGGAAAGAGGAGGACAAAAGACTAACCCAGAGAGAGAAAAGACTATACTCACAACTGTCCCTTCCTATCTTGCTCCTAACTAGTCCAGGTCTCCCCCAACTCCAGCTGCGCCAACACACCTCGCCTCTGTTTCCTTCCCACAATTCCCACCTTCTCCCCACCCCTAAGTAGTTTGAGCTCAGATGTGCACAAATCTATGTCCCCTTACCGCAACTAAAATAGGCTGAAATTTTTCAAAAAGAAATCCACTAAGAAGCTAAATAAACACAGCTAAATAAACAAAAGAAATACAAAAGCTGGAAGCCTTCAAAGCAACCTAAAAAAGTATCAAATCAAAACGTTGTACACCTTAAACTTACACAAAGTCATATGCCAATTATATCTCAATAAAACTGTGGGGAAAAAAAAGAAACCAACTAGAAATGGGAGAAAATATTTCCTTGACAATAGCATGCATATAAACAGGAATAAACTCAATATGAGAAGTATAGAAACTATGTTAAAAAAAACTATAAAAATTCTATTAAAGGGCACAAAATTCAGTCTAAAAATACAGAAAGATGTACTATCTTCTTGGGGATAATTATACATAATAATTATATAAGTGTAAATTCTCTCAAAAATAATATATAAATATAATACCTATTAGAACCCCAATGTGTCTGTCTTTTTAATTCAATAAAATATTAAAATCCCAACAAACAAACAACAACAACAAAGCACCTGAAAGAACTAAAGGCTAACCACAGATTGGTACACCAATGGTACAGCTTTTAGTCTTACAAGTCCTGGGTCCCTTTCTTCTACTCTACGTGGCTTGGATGCTGACTCTAGCTACTTGGGTACCAGATTTGAGAACAATTTAGGTAGGCACCACTGTTGGATCTGGTGGGCTCCAGTCCCTCCTAGTACTGGCATCAGAGTCTTCTTTCCCAGTGTGAGCTCCAGGAGTCTCCCAGGAGTGTGAGCTCCCAGGAGTCTCCCAGGAGCTTCCTGGGAAGTTCTGCTTCAATTCATGAAGGCACCCTGGCTCCTGGTTAGTGTAGCTCTTCATTTCTGTCCCAAAGAGACCTACCCTGAGCTGCAGACTGTACTGTGATTAGCCTGTAACTACTTCCTTTACCATTCCTATAATTCCCAATGGTTCCTGTCCCCTCTCATCTTGTGTGTTCCCCTAAAGCAGGAATCCTTGGTTAGAAACCCACTCATGTGCTTCAAAAGATCTATGAATCCCTGAAATTATATCCAAAATTGTATGTATGTGATGCATATAAGAATATTTTTATGAAGAGGTTTATAGTTTTCATCAAGAAAATCAAATGAGGGACTTCCCTGGTGGTCCAGTGGTCAAGAATCCACCGTCCAATGAAGGGGACGCAAGTTTGATCCCTGATCGGGGAACTAAGATCCCACATCTGCGGGGCAACTAAGCCCGTGTGCTGCAACTACTGAGCCCGTGCACTCTGGAGCCTGTGTGCCACACTACAGAGCCCACACGCTCTGGAGCCCACATGCCACAACTAGAGAGAAGCCCGCGTGCCACAACCAGAGAGAAACCTACGAGCCACAACTAGAAAGAAGCCCACACACTGCAACGAAAGATCCCACATGCTGCAACTAAGACCCGACACAGCCAAAAATATAAATAAATAAATAAATAAATTTGAAAAAAATCAAATGAATTGGGCTTCCCTGGTGGTACAGTGGTTAAGAATCTGCCTGCCAATGCAGGGAACACGGGTTCAAGCCCTGGTCCGGGAAGATCCTACATGCCGCAGAGCAACTAAGTCTGCTTGCCACAACTACTGAGCATGCACTCTAGAGCCCGTGAGCCACAACTACTGAGCCCACGTGCCACACTACTGAAGCCCACACGCCTAGAGCCTGTGCTCCGCAACAAGAGAAGCCACCGCAATGAGAAGCCTATGCACCACAACGAAGTGTAGCCCCCGCTCACCACAACTAGAGAAAAGCCTGAGAGCAGCAACGAACACCCAACACAGCCAAATTAATAAATAAATTAAATAAATACAAAAAAAAAATCAAATGAGTTGACGACCCCCAAAAAGTTTTTTAAAAAATCCTCTTGGGAACAGTGCAGCAGGACCTTGGCAAGATATCCCTCCTAAAATGCAATACAGAACAGGGAAGAATGAAGTTCATATTCTTCACAGGGTAGTAATGATCTCAGATTCAGGATCTCAGAGGGAAAAGGCTAGAAGTGATTATTAGTCTGCAACTACAATTATGATTCCATTCTCTTACTAATCAAAGCCACCCACTGTACAATATCTTGCCAGCTGGTTAGAAAACTCACCTATCTCCATTTCTATGAAAGCTGCTTCATCTGGTAGGGCCCGAGGGATCACTCCAGGATCACTGAAGCTGGTCCTCAACAGTGTAGCCATGGAGAAAAGGAAGAGCATGGCAGCAAACACAGGGATGGCAGGTGACAGCTGGACAGCCAGGTAGCGGCATCTGAAGAAAGCAAGCAATTGAACATCTAGTTATTCCTACCCTATACTGACCTGGAATTGTTACCAGTATGTCAATCTGATCTCCACAACAAAATTACAGTACCTTAAGGGCAGGGACCATATTTTTTACTTCTCTCGAATTACTGAAAAGTCCTAACATTTGGTTCTGCACATACTAGGCGCTCAACAAATACTTAACTGATCGATGCCACCTATAACATACAGAAGATAGCCTAAGGAACCTCCGTTACCCTCAAGCCCAGTCCCTCCCATCAGCCTGCTGGGGGTCACATTTCCTCTGTACCTCAGCAAAGGCTCATACCTGTTCAGGTCAGGGACCCAACTGAACCTGGATTGTAAGCACCATAGGTTGCTCTCACTCTGGGAATGTCTAGAGCTTTTCATATCCACTCATCTGGCGTTAGGCCTGAGCTCAAGGAGGGGGAAGAAAAGATGAGGACCAGTCATGAAGCAGAGTCCCAGTGTCAGACAGACGGTATGTCCAGCATGCGTGAAGGCCAGTGAAAAGCTTCAGGGCTGCTGACTGACTCTGCAACATCCACTCACTCCTCTTCCTTCCTCAAAGAGCTGAGCCAATAGATGACTAGTGACCATAAGCAAGGGAATAAGAAAATTGTATCTCCTTAGCACCCCTTCTCAACATCATGTTTGTTCCCCTCTTTCCATAATTCACCTGGAAGGCCATTCCTCTTTCTCTCTGGATATCCCAGCTCTACTCTTCTTTCAGATCCAAAGCCATCAATGCCGTCACTGTCATCATCACAGCCACAATTTATTGAGAACACACCAGATGCACTAAGCTCTTTAGGCACATTACAGCATCCACTTCTCACACTACATCTATAATAGCTGAAGAATCTGGGATTTAGCGAGGTCTTGGCTCTTCCAAAGGCCTATCCTAAACTGCACTGTTTTTCACTATGTTGACCTCATCTCCCCCAACTGAACTTCATAAGAGCAAGAACCTTGTCTTTTAGGAGTGGGAATGCCTGGGTTTGAATTCTGGCTCTACCAGCTCCTAGTTGGGTAACTGAGTTAACTTCAGTCTCCTTATCTGTGAAATGAGGATGATAATGACAGTATTTCATAGGGTGGTTGTGTGGTTCAAATGCATGAATAGAAATAAAGTGCTTAGAACTGCCCTTGACACATAGTAAACGCTAAGTAAACGTCAGTTATTAACATTATCATCACGGTTCTCTATCTCCCAGAGCCTAATACAAGTATGAGAACAAAGAGGCTATCAACAAATACTTGTCGAGTTGAACTGAGTATCAAACCAAATAAATGGGAATACGTAATTAGAGTTACCACTGACCTATTTTTACTCTCCTCCTCCTGAGGCATATTTTCTCCTTCAACATAGACATCTTCTCTTGGAGGCAGACTATAAGTGGATGAGCAAGGACCAGAGGCAGAGTGAAGAAAGTAAGCTAAGGAAAAAGGCTTATCTCATCTGCACAGGGATTAAGCAAGCTGCTGTCCACTCAGAGTAAACGTTTAACCCTGGGTTGTACCTTCGCTGCAGGTTTGGAACAATCCCCATGAGATCCTCCTCCTGCCTCCGTGCCACACACACGACTGCATGGGGAGTTCAAACCAACTGTACTGAGCAGTTTGCCATGAAGGTGAACATACGGAGTGAACTTGCAAAATGATTTCTGTGGCTTTTTGTTTGCTTGCCTGCTCGTTTGTTTTTTAATAAAATCCTTGGTCTTAGCTTGCTTTTGTAAGATTTTTTTCCTTCTCCTAAAAGCCAAGGGTAGGATCTGGCTAACTGAGTTCAGGGTAATGAAGGTCCTTCCATATCACTCGCTTGTGGATTACCCTCTTTTCCACTATTCCCCTTCACTGGTACAGATAATTAAGAAGTGGGGCTTCCCTGGTGGCGCAGTGGTTGCGAGTCCGCCTGCCGATGCAGGGGACACGAGTTCGTGCCAGGTCCGGGAAGATCCCGCATGCCGCGGAGCTGCTGGGCCCGTGAGCCATGGCCGCTGAGCCTGCGCGTCCGGAGCCTGTGCTCCGCAACGGGAGAGGCCACAACAGTAAGAGGCCCACGTACCGCAAAAATAAAACAAAAATTAAAAATAAAAACAAAATTTATAAGGGCTTCCCTGGTGGTGCAGTGGTTGAGAGTCCGCCTGACGATGCAGGGGACGCGGGTTCGAGCCCTGGTCTGGGAAGATCCCACATGCCGCGGAGCTGCTGGGCCCGTGAGCCATGCCGCTGAGCCTGCGCGTCCGGAGCCTGTGCTCCGCAACGGGAGGGGCCACAACAGTGAGAGGCCCGCGTACCGCAAAACAAACAAACAAACAAAAAAAGAAGTGAATTCAGAAAAGTCACCTCCACTTATCAGGGACCCAAAAGGACACAGGAGAATCACGAGGCTCCGTTTCACAAACAAGCCAAATGAAATTACCATGCTGACAGAAAACAGCCATCTTCCTCATCACTGCCCATCTCTAAAATCACTCTTGAAAACAAAGAAGTGACGTCTCCAGGATTCAAACTGCCCTGGGTGTATAGTCTCCAATGAAAACCCTTAGAAAAATCAGAGCCATCTGATTGGCCACCTAAGGGAGTTTAAACTGTTTTATTAGAGCGAAAAGATACAGAGACGGTAGAACACACACACACCCACACACCCCCCCCACACACACATACTAATGTCACCCCCATGCACAGAAGACCCAAGCTTAACTAAGTCCCATTTCAACACCTGCTTGTTGACCAGACAAAGAACAACTTAGATTTCAATTACACTATGCCATTAAGGATAAAGGTCTCTGTAATCTCCACACAGACTATCATCTGCACCTGCTAAAACAATCCACTCTGTATGTCAACAAGTACACAACAGGCCCATTGTATTGTTCTCCAGAGACAAGGATACTGGCAGCCAGTTGTCACTAGTGAGTGGGTGTGGCTGGCAAGGCAGATGTGGGACCAGCAGGCCTTTCTACCCCGAATAAGAAGAAATAAGAGAGCCAGCGGCTAAGACCACTGTGAACTACAACCCATCTGTCTGTCTTTAATACCCACCTAGGTCAGTCCCATAATTGCAGTAAGCTAGAGATCTGTCTTGTATAGGAATAAGCTATGTGAAGATTTGGGGGTAATTCCCAGTATCGACCTCAAAAGTCAGGAGTACCCTCAAACATCACTAATTTGTCCTAGTGAAACACGGATCTGTCATCCACAAATATAAGCTGTTTTTGAAACCCCGTAGTAGTTTCCATCTATATCGATACGAATAATGATATCCATACACTTCTTGACACAGAACTCTCCTTTGTCTTCAGAGTACCACGGGGTTAGAAGTTGCTTTTCTCCCTTGTGAATCTTATAAATGCAACCATGTGCCCACTAAGTCTTCATTTCTGCCACCTGAAGAGACATCATCATTTTAAGCCATCCTCTACCAACCTCTCGATTGGCCTCAGGCTTCCATAGCTGGACTAGACGACAGGACTCCCACATGGTGGTACTGACCAGCAGTAACCAGCAGTGCCAGGCTGAGCTGGTGTGTCATGTCCCATCCCCCATCCCTAGCACACTAGCGTTCATTGGAGGGACAATGATAATGACACAGACTTCAATTCACACAAAAAAACTCAAAAGAGATTCATGAGGGGAGCTGGTAAGAAACCAGACAGATTCCATGGCAGGGCTGCCTCACAGACTGGCAGTGTGGACTACTGTTCTATACTCTGCTTCAAAGTCTCCCTAATAGTTTTCTTGCTATGCTTTTTGTTGTTGTCCTTTTATCAATGCAATCAATCAGCCAACAAGTATTTATGGGTCTAACAAATGAAGAGCAAGAGAAATGGGAGTTAATTTTGTTGAGGAAAACATAACTAACATATGAAACAGCTAAATAAGATAAGACCAATAATCAAGTGTTCACATGGTGAGTCAGACTCTAAGGACTGTAAGTGGTCAGAGAAGAGCTCTCTTGGGAAGCTGATGGCTGCTTGAAACTGCTCCCATAGCAGCCATTAAGGTTGGCTTTAAGGAAGAGCTGTGCTTGGAACGGCAGGAATGGCCCAAGGATTGGAGCCCCATAATGGCCCTTGATCCCAGATAATAGAAATAAGCCTTTGCTATAAGTCCTCCCTGATACGGATGGCTGTCTGTCCTTTTACATATGACCTACCTCTAGAGCACAGTAAACACGTACAACCACCCATAAGACTGGTTCAACATTCTTCTGATGACACTCAGAGTCTGCTACGAGGGAAAAAGTTTCCTTGGACACTAAAAACATAATTTAATATCACCCTCCAGATTTACTGCTATGTGAAGGTCAAAGGAAAATGCATAACCCTGTTTTGCTCCAGGAGCAGTGGGGAAAATTAACCAAACAGGGACCTTTTCAATTGTGAGGCAATGAGCCATCCTCTCACTGAGGAAGGCCAAAATCTCTATCCAGGCAAACCTGCTAAGTAGTTGCCAAATTTCAGTTATAATAATAAATTTCACATTTCAATTATAATATAAAACATTTCAATTATAATATCCTCCTGATCAAGAACTTAGAATAGTTCCCTGCTGCCTATTATATTAAGCCCCCCACTCCTCGGGCCAGTATTCCGAGGCCCTCCTTGAACTGGCCTTATCTAATCATTATCATAAGGTTCTTGCCTCCTCCTTGCTCCATTCCAGACACATCTCCCTCATTACCCTGAATTCACTAGCCTCTTGTTATTGCAAGAGGCATAAGATGCCTTTTTTTGTTCTTAAACACAATACCACCTCTGGCATCTCTGAGGAGGAAGATTTAGGACTCCTCTCCCTCAATAAACATCTCAACTGATGTAGGCATGCTAGGGACATCCCTGTTCTTTGTGCTCACTTTTCCTAAAATAGACGATCACTATACTCAATTAAGACTCATTCTCAAAAGATGGGAGACTCATTCAGTGGAGACTGACAGTGTGAAACTCATTACCGCAAAAGGTAGTAGAGGCTGAAAATATACAGATGAATTCTGAATGACAGAACCGTAAAGAATTGTTAACGGAAAGCACACTGTTCAGGAGACATGACCCAATCCTTCTTCAGGGGACATGCTTTATCAGGAAGTTGAGTTTAGCTAAGTACTGTTAACAGATTGATATCAAAGAGGCAACTATGCCTTTCTAAAACTGTCTTTGGTTGACCAAGTCACAGACAGAATCTTGGGCAGGATAAGCACAAGACTGAATCTCCATAGAGCAGCTCTGCAGAGAATACTCTCTTGGTTAGAGATCATGATAAAGTCACTTTTTCCTCTTCCTAATCTCACCTAAGGAATTCAGGAACCTGGACCTTGTCACTGTAGGCACAGATATTCTGCCATGTCAGAGTCTGGCTCTGGTCTACCCAGCCCTGTGTCTCCTCAAACCTGCTAAGTTTGTTATCAGATTGCCTCTTCTCTTCCTCCTGTCCATGGGGACACGGTGTCCCTTTCATCACCATCACCCACAGGGTAACATGGTAGGGAGCACACACTGCTTAATTTTTCTCTGAGCTGTCCTCATCCCGGCAGCAGGGACTAGGGGCAGCGACAGCAGTGATAACCTCTTGTAACACACAAAGCTTACTTGCTAAGTTCACACTTAGACATGGGCTCCCTTGTCCCTGCAAGGCTACCAGAATGCCATGCTGGAACGCTGTCAGTTTTCCACAAAGATGCCTTCGTTTTCTAGGAGCATGGGCTAGGGAGGCCAAAATAACCTGGAGTCCACTAAGGTAACACAAACACTAGCTAGCAAGACCCCAGAATATGCGTGTCCAGCACTCAGCACCATGCACATCTTCAGTAATCTGCACGTCTTCACGATTCCGTATTCAAAAGGTAACAATGAGATGAAAAGTAGTGTCATATAAGGCTTCCCTGGTGGCACAGTGGTTGAGAGTCCGCCTGCCGATGCAGGGGACACAGGTTCGTGCCCCGGTCCGGGAGGATCCCACATGCCGCAGAGCGGCTGGGCCCGTGAGCCATGGCCGCTGAGCCTGCGTGTCTGGAGCCTGTGCTCTGCGACGGGAGAGGCCACGACAGTGAGAGGCCCGCGTACCGCAAAAAAAAAAAAAAGTAGTGTCATATAAAGGCACTGGCTGGCCGATCGATCTTGATGAAATAACCCCATTTCTGTAGACTTGGTTTTGTCACCTGCAAAAGGATAGGGATAGTCTCCAAGGCCCCCTCCGGCTCTATCACTCTATGATTCTGTGAGTCAAGACTGTTACATTTTAAGTGCATCCAGAATGTATCAATTCAGTAACATTTATTGATCACCTACTCTATGAAAGGCCTGGCAGAGGGCACTGTGGGGGCCACATAGACACAGAAGATGGTCCCTGACATTGAAAGAGCTCGAAGTGTAATCACCACAGAATTCAGAAATATAAAAAATGTCAATTACATATTAAATGACTGGTATGTACAATTAGTCCTGAGAATGCAGAAATTACTAGAAAAATTTCATGAAGGAAGGAAGACTCAAGAAGGGACTTGAAAAAGAGGTAGAATATGAATAGGCTAGAAGTGGGACAATTACTAAGCAGTGCTACAAAACTTCTTTCAGTTCATCCAATTCAACGACTCCTCTGTACATCAGGAGCACCCAGGAGGGTCAGTCCAACAGGGTTTGATAGTGCCTTGATACGGTTTCCTCTAGATATAGCACAGTGAGGCATAAGCACTGATCATAGCAGCAAACTACTTCTACTTCAGGGGTCAAGAGTCACACAATTATTCTTGCCACAACAGAAGTCTCAGGACCTTGACCCCACTAGTGATCTGGTCACAATGTTAAAAGAGACAGCTAGGAAGCCACTTCCAGAACACAGTGCACTTGGTCCTTTCCCCAAGCTTTATGAGGAAGTTGAATTTGACTAAATACCACAATAGCCTTTCAGTAGCTGGACAGCTCACAGGTTGTCAGTGTCATTCTGCTATAGTGTCCTAACATTCCCGGCCAAGCTGTTTGCTATGTGTTCATCACACAAGCTGGACAGGGTTTGGGCAAAAAGGACTGAGAATGGTTCATGTGCTCAAAGCTCATACTTCCTAAATACCTCATCCTAAGAATACATTAGGAAGGTTTTTTTTTTTTGACTAAAGTATTTTTTTGAAGTATAGTTGATTTACAATGTTGTGTTAATTTCTGGTGTACAGCAAACTGGTTCGGTTATATATACATTCTTTTTTTTATATTCTTTTCCATTATGGTTTATCATAAGATACTGAATATAGTTCTCTGTGCTGTACAGTAGGACCTTGTTGTTTATCCATTCTATATATAAAAGCTTACATCTGCTCACCCAAACCTCCCACTCCATCCCTTCCCCACCCCACCCCACCCCCGCCGGCAACCACAAGTCTGTTCTCTACGTCCCTGAGTCTGTTTCTGTTTCATAGATAGGTTCATTTGTGTCACATTTTAGAGTCCATATATAAGTGATATCATATGGTATTCATCTTTCTCTTTCTGACTTACTTCACTTAGTATGATAATCTCTACTTGCAAGGAAATTTTTTTTTTAAGTACTGTACAATTTACACTCTGCTTCAAAATTCAAAGACATTTTTACTACAGATACAATTACATTTAAAATACAGCTACCTACTGGTAATCTTCTATCCCCTCCTTCTCTGTGTGTGTATTTGAATTTTCTAGACAGACACAAGAGTTATATAGAATTTCAGACTCTCAGAGTTGCAAGAGGCCTAGTGATAATCTAGCCCAATTTCCCATCCTGGGCAGGAATCCACTCTGTGACAGCAGCCCTGAGAGATGGCTACCCAGTTTCTTTGGAAACACTTCTAACAATACAGAGCTAACTCGCTCCTGGATGGACCACCTTTGTTCATTTTACGTATTCAACCTACTGTCTGTCCACTGAAAATTACAGGTCCCTCCTTTGAGAAATCTAAACGTGTAAAGGCAAAATCCAAAAATAAAAATATGTCCACTGGCACTACTAACACTGCATGTTTTTCATCAAGGGGCGCCCACATGCCTGACCAGATTTCTCAAGCCATCTGGCTGACCCAGGGCTGTGCCACGGGTGGTTATAAATCACCTCGCACTCGTTCCTATGCACCTGCTACAAGCAGGACGCTGTTACTAAATGCAGGTCCAGATGTGCCTCAAGATCTGAACTTTCTTCCTCAAGGCCAAAATGCAGCAGCCAGGGGACATATAGTCTACGCTCCTAGACAGTTTAAAGATGAAAAGAGACAGCCCTTTGTCACTGGTGGTTCAGACACCCTCAACTGCCTGAAGGCAGGGGGCTAGATCAGCTGATTTTTTTTTTTTATGCGCGGTATTTTTTTTTTTTTCAGCAGGCGGACTCTCAACCACTGCGCCACCAGGGAAGCCCCCAGCTGATTTCTTGAGGTCTCCCTAAGTTCTCATACTAGTGAAGGAGCCCATATTCTGCCCCCAAACCCTATCCACCACCACGTGGTGGGTAGTAAATTACAGACCCCAAAGAAAAAGGTCAACCAGAAAGAAATGTCATTCCTCAGAGGCATGCTGGTATCCTCTGTACAGCCTGTCATTGGTTAGGCTCAAGGCAGCTGCCACCTAGAGTGCCTGTGTGTCTGCATATGACAGACAGATGCATGCACACTCACAAACACAGATTCTACCATTCTCAGTAAAAAAAGCATTCATTGCCAGGGTCCTCTCCCCTTTGGTCAGATGTAGCCTTCCCCACTCCACTGCTCAGCTAACACGTTTACTTCCTTCTCCCCTCCGGCCTCCTTACTCCCACCCCCAAGCCCTACCCTCAAAAATATTTACCCCACAGACAGCTGGAACCCAGGGCAGTTTACAAACAACCTCGCCCTTCATATCTGAGGGCAAAGCGCAAGAAATAACTTGGGGGAAAAAGTCATCTTGGTAGAAAACCCAACCTGCCTCTGTCAAACAGTAACTTGGCTAATTACAAGCTTCATCCCACAGGCAGTTTTCTTCAGAGGCCTTCAGGGCCGAAGTGGAACAGATCCGTATCAGACTCTGTCTGGCTCCCAGATACAAAAAGGGTCAAATGCCAGTAGCTCCAAATTTCAAGTTCCCTTGGCCAGTCAAACCAGAGGTTTCCTGGGCCCAGAATTACCAGCTCACTCAGGGTCTAGAAACAAATCTCATCTCTGTTTTGAATGGTTCCAACCACAAAACTTTAACCCTGGGCGGGGCAGGGAGGGTGGCAAAAGAGCTAGTGATTCAGCAGAGGAAGGAGTGAGAATGATAGAAAGCAGAGTTCATCTCTGCACTTCCAAAAAGAAGCAAGGCAGGAATAAAGCAAAGAAAACTTGGAGAAGGGTGACGAGTGGGGAAACATTTTTTTTAATGTTATGCATATGCCTGCCCACCTGCACACACTCACTTGTACCACACATAGGTACACACACACACAAGTACACACACACACACACACACACACACACACACTCAGCCATGAAACTCAGACTGGAAAGCAGCTAAGAAGCCAACATCAAACTGTCTGACTTTGCCAAATACTTTACAAAGTCAGCAGCAATAGCAGCAACAGAAGTGCCTTTGACAAAGAGGTCCTCTGACCTTACTTTCCTAGCCCTGTTATAAACTACGTCCCCCTCCTTCCTCTGCTGTTACTCAAGCCAGCTGCAAACATCAAAAAGTCCGGTAAAGGGCTTCCCTGGTGGCGCAGTGGTTGAGAGTCCGCCTGCCGACGCAGGGGACACGGGTTCGTGCCCTGGTCCGGGAAGATCCCACGTGCCGCGGAGCAGCTGGGCCCGTGAGCCATGGCCACTGAGCCTGCGCGTCCGGAGCCTGTGCTCCGCAACGGGAGAGGCCACAGCAGTGAGAG